TTTAGGCACCTGTCAACTGACCCTGACTGCCCAAATGAACGCTATCTTCTCTACAGAGAATGGGCTCATCCTAAAAACATTTTCAAACTGCAACCCCTGGATTTCATCAGGTTTGTGTGACTGGGGCTAGACTAATGCAGAGGGAACTGGGAATTTAGACAACAGGTCTGGTTTTGAGGGTGTCAAAGAGACACAGCTCAGTTCTGTGGGCGGGTACATTCATCTGTATTAGCTCATGCATGGGACCATACTTGGAGCTTGGTTTCATAATAAGCTAATTCATGAAAAGGGAATTTTTTTCCTTGCAAGGTATGATCTTTCTCCTTTTCCTTTTTTTCACTCTTCTTATCCCCTTATATAAGCATAAAAGTGGTGATAGAAATACCCAGAAATACCCAGCTGTAATACTTCTGGCATCCCAAAGTTCAAACTGGAGGAATATGACAATGCAGGTTGGCACAAAAAGTCTGAAATGAGGAGCCATTTGAAACAGAAATGTGAATTTACTTACACTTCAAAAAAAAATCCTTTCCCTTCCGCAGGAAATACTATGGGGAGAAAATTGGAATCTACTTTGCTTGGCTGGGCTTTTACACTAATATGCTGATTGTGGCTGCAGTTGTAGGAGTTGGCTGTTTTCTGTACGGATGCTTGACAAAGGACAACTGCACATGGAGGTACAGATCAGGCCTATTTTAATATCACGTGCGATTTTGATCAGCCCCCTACAGAGGGGGACTGTGGGGGTCTGCAAGAGACTGCATAACGAAAGAGGCGAAATGAAAGGGCCTGAGAACAGTGGTTACAGATTTGAAGGTAAAGGCATAAAATGTGAGCTAGAGGAGTCATGGATGTCCATGGACCATTACAGTGGTCCAAAAGCTTGTTATTTCAGCATTTTCTTTATATTTTGGACTAGGTTCACCACACCTCAAAACACAAAGAAAAGAGCGACAGTCTTTGTATTGACAGAAGTCAATACAAATTGCTATAATACAACATTTTCACTGTGGTACTCCTTAAAGGAGACATCCAAAGACCTTGATAAACCCCCCAAAAAAATTTCCTTCCTCTCTTTTGAGAGAAGAAACCAGGAAGAACAACAGCACAGGGGACTTCAGCTGCCAGGGATATGCAGGGAGGACATACATAGCCATGACACAGATCCCATCTCCAGAACATGACAAAATTCAACCATGGCATGAAAACCTAGGAAAAAACACCCAGATCATTGTGCTAAATCCTCTTCAGGCTATCACACTCTATAACCCCTTCAGGAAGGGCGTCCAACCTTATAAAAAATGCTGAAGAGCTGTTCAAGATTTCCCCTCCTGTGGCTAATCTATACACATTTAGTCTTATGCTAGTACTATCATTTATGAAAATAGTTCATCTCCCTCCCTGGTATTTACCCCACTGATGTATTTATAGAAAGTAATTACATCACTTTTCAGCCCCCACCACCCTCGGTTAGGTGAGCCAAACTCTTTTGCCATCTCTTAAGAGACAGATCTGCCATTCCTTGAATCAACATGTGAGATCTTTGAAGAGTTGTTTTATTTTAAATGTGAGCAATTTTGAGAATTACCACCATGTACAAGGGATGGAAATTGTTTTTCCCCATATCATCAATTTCTGAGATGAGGACTAAGAATGGAAATGGGGATGTGTGGCTGGGGCGAGGGTGGAATTCTTGAGAGCAGATCACTTGTGAATTATTTCTCAGGTCCTTGAGATTATTGCAGTGTTTTCATGTGCAAAAAAGGACTAAAGAAATCGGTGATTGACTGACTGGTTTTGGTTTTAGCCAAGAAGTATGTGATCCCAGCATAGGAGGTAAAATCATAATGTGCCCTCAATGTGATAAAGTGTGTACCTACTGGAACCTCAGCATCACTTGTGAATCATCCAAGGTAACTGTGTTTACAGCTTATAGACATACTATTGAGCTTTACTTGCGCTTTCTCTAGTACTACATATAAAATGATGTTGTTTGTCCACTAATGTCCTACAGAATTGCTAGAACTGTGCAAATAGTTGTTCCTTTTGATACAGCGGCTGAAGGTTCAAAAGTAAAAACCACAACAATTGCTTCACTTAGATCTAAGCTGAAAAAAAAACTTGGTTTCTTATTTCACATAGTCCCCAAATAAATGATACAGGACTAAAGGGTTTTTTTAAAATCGAAAACCAAACACTTGAGTTTCATTTTGGGGCACTTCTTCCTTTCGGAGGAAAAAAAGGAAAACACATTCAATGATTATATCAGTAGCTCTGAATCAATTTTGCTAAGGAAATGTTTAAAGCATGTTTCAACACTTCTAAATTCTGCTCCCTCCCTCCCCAAACAAGTCACCTGGATCCATGCCTGGAATTTGAGTTGCATTGTCAAGGAAGAGATGGTATGTGGAGAGGCTGATGCCGGTCATGACAGAAGCTGTGACACAGCCGTGTCCTGTTGGCCATGACACAGCCAGACTTGATCTGAATTCCCATCTAGAGGAACCTGTCTCTCTTTCTCCACTGACTTGTCTCACTAGACTACTGTTAGCCTTTTGACATTCTTTTCCATAAAATCTGCTCCAAATCTGCAAATTTTCAGCTATTCATAAAAACATTTTGCCCAGCTTTAATGTGTTGATTCAGTGCACTTAAAGGGTAAAAGAAATAGGAATGCAGGGCAAAGGCTGTGATAGAATGAAAAGGCAAATTGTGACCACAGAGACAACTCATCAGAATGTGTTTTTTCTAACTAGCTTGATTTGTTGTAATCCCGCTCACAAGAACCAGATGTGGCCATTGCCTTTTTGTGGCCATATTAAAAATACATAATTCTTTGCAGAGGTCCCAGACCATAAGCAATGCTTTTCCTCTTTCTATGCAACAGATGGAAGGAAGTTTGATAGCACGCCATTTTACTATCACCTTGATGCATACTTGGCTTATATATTTTAATTCTGGGATTTGAATTTAATTTCCTTAATTTATTGGAGGGTGTTGTACATTGAGTGAAATTGAGGAAATATTATCAATAAGGATCATTTATTAAACTATATAAAAGCTAAAAATCAACACGTTCAGTAAGCAGCTTCTCTTCTGGGTCAATGTGGGAAAAAAAATGGTCAATTATATTTTAAGCCTTTTTTTTCTTTTCCATTTTTTCCAGAAACTCTGTATATTTGATAGCTTTGGAACACTGGTGTTTGCGGCATTTATGGGCATATGGGGTAAGTAAATTTCAACAACTGTGGTTTGTCATCTAATTTTGGCCAAGCCTCCAGATCAGCCAAGAAAACATGGATAAATTTATAACTGCTTCATTTTCTAGCACTCGGGAATTCACCAGTAGGTAGCTGGGTAGAAGATGCATACATTCACAGGAACTCTTTTAGCATCATAAGAAAAGAAAAATTGTAGAGCTGAAATCTGGTGTTCAGTGTCTGTTCTGTTTCATTTAACTTGGAGGAAAGTCCTAGAGAAGTGATTATAGCTGCCTCATGTACATCCAGTGGGAGCCAGCCACATACTTAAGTGTATCTGGCAGATGAGCTGGTTTTTTTCCAGAGAATTTTGGAGCTGACTGTGCCTATTAACAGCTGTGTGACTGCACAAGGCAATTGAAAAATAGTCATTTATTGTATTTCCCAGGATTTTATTCCTCCTATTTTATTTAAGAAACAGATTCTAAAAAGCATAGCATTTACAAGCACTAGATTTATCTTTTAGAAGAGAAAATATCTGAAACCAGCATGTTTCCCATGGGTGAAACCACCTGGTGCTGTATGAAAAGGATTAGGCAATGTTTATTTTCCCAGAAAAGGTGTTATTTGTTCATATCAACAGCTTTGTTACCTGGCTTTATTGCACTGCCCTATCCAAAAATTACCAAAATAAGTTATATGTTAGGTGGGTATATATATAATTTATATGTAGGCTGACAAGGTACTATTGAATTAATATGTAGGCTGACAAGAATATATGATTTGCTTTCTTTGTAAAACATTGTATTTTTATTTTCCTCTGATGACCTAAAGTGTTACAAAATACCTACTGCATTAAAGAAATAAGCGATGACACATATAATTTCAAAAAGAAGATTTCTTTCAAAATATATGTTAAAATCAAAATACCATCAGGAAATACTCTAAATAAGTAGTAAAAAAAAAAAAATTAAAAAAGTTTGATACTCATGTAATCATCTTCTGTCATGTGAATAGTTAATTTATTTGCAATTTGCTTTTTAATTAAAATTGTGTTTCCTGTTTTGAAGAATGGTTCCAAGAGTAATAATTACAGAGTTAAGCCGCATGGTTATAGTGATGGCTACAAGGTCTATTAGTATTCTTATCATAAGTCCACTATAAAAAGAGGTGATTTGTGTAGCAGAAATTCAGTCAAAATTGTACTGAATCCAAATGACCCATGGTCCTGGTACAATTCCAGCTGTAATTGTCACCTTTCTCTAATATTTTTTTAGACCTGCTGGTCCAAAACAATTAAAAGAGTATTTGATTTTTAGATATATTATTGCATCATTATCAGCAACACACTTTTTAATAATTGCCTTTTGGTTTTTTAGTATATCCCCTTTAAAGCTCTCAAAGCACTATACAGCACAAGGGAATTTAGCCTCAGGAATTAACTCTCTATACATTAATGCTCTGGACCAGCCCTTCTGCCACTTATCCTGTGATGGCATGACTAGATTGGCGAAGCTCCTGAAGCAGCAGCTTCCACTTGCTGCCACCACTGGATCCCCTCCCTGAATGAGAACAGTTAAACAAATGGAATTTCTCTGACAGAGGGATTTCTTTCCAGTCCTTGGTGAGGGCTTCAGAGGCAGGATACCTGGGCCATACCGAATGGCAGTGTTGAGGGACACATGAAAGGGGACACTATTAATTACCAGCTTGAGGTGAAATCAGCGCTTGGATCTCTTGGGGCTGAAACTTCATTTGTTTCCACCCTAAAAAAAAAATGCTGGTTCAAAATAAAAGGAAAATATCAAATCCAGCAGCAGCAGCTCCTTCCTTCTGAAAGACACAACCTGGCTGCCAGCTTATATTAGCTAATAGGAGTTTTCTTTTTATGAGCTAATATCTAATCTGGCTCATGTTACGTGCCCTTCTTTTGCTGTTAGCACAGAGACTATCACAGAAGGAGGCCCTGCACTCTCCCACTCCCCAGCAGCAGCTGGATTTGCAGCTGAAGTAAATCAGTATAGCCTGTAGCTTCCTGCGATTTGGGCTAGGGTTCCAACCAGCAGTTAGAGGTTTGTGGAAGACTAAATTTGCTCTGCAGGAGAAGGCAGATGTGATCCTCTGGCTCACTGCTTGGAATGGCCTTTGTACCATGAAATAGCGAAGAAGTCCTTGTGAAAATGGACCCTGAATAACCAGGGGAGGAGGGTTTCCTGGGGTTTTTCCTGTGTGCAGATGCCAAAGTCATTTCACAGCCCAGCCCATGGAGTTTTTGGGTTTTTATATGCTTCCGTTTGGGGTTTATTGACCACACCTGATTATGGAAATAACCTTTAGTGTTTGGACTTGTAACTGCATGCCATCGATGTGTCATCATTCGAGATGAGGGGCCAAACTAACAACCCCCCCCCACTTTTAAGATTAATTACTCCCAGACAGTGGGAGTAACGAGAAGGGCTGTGGCAGGACACTAACTCCTCCTGGAGGCAGTGCTGCAGAGCCCTGTCACTCACTTCGTCTGGGGATGCACTGTCCTCAGTAATAAAGCATCTCATGCAGTGGGGAGCATGGTACCGATACCCATCATCCTGGGCTCCTCCCAACCTCCTCAGCTGAGCCTGTCATTGCCTCTGCTCCACCATGTCTCAGGTCAGGGTAATGGGTTTGGCTGGACTGATGTTTAACCAGCACCACTTAGGCTTCCGTGCACCTGGTCCCCCAGTGCTTCCAATTGCGAGAGCACAGTCCAGGGGAATTGCTGGCCCAGCCCTGTGGGTTCCAGGTCATGCCAAAAGAGCTGCAGCTCCTTCAGGTTCATGTTAGTAGAGGAGGGAAGGTGGCAGTGTTTCAGCCACTTTACCCAAACCATCATTGATTCCTGTAGTCTGCAAACTGATAATTTGTCCACACCAAAACTGCAGACTGAGTGAACATGAGCTTTTCCCTGTGGCAATTTTGGGCACACTGAGGTTTTCTTTTCTAGAAGTCCTGCACTCTCCAGCATTTTGTCTTCACCTATTCAATCAACTTTCTTTCCTAAGCATCCCATGATAAACATTTTCAAAAGCAGTCTGTAATATGAAATCTGAAGTGCTCATATTCTAGCCTGAGGCATAAAGCAAATAAATTTATCTGCATTCTTTAGCATGTGCTTACATCACCATTTACCTCAGGTTTCTTTTATAAAAGTACCTATATACCTAAAGCAATAATTGCATAAATAAGTAAATCCAGTTATTTTCACCATCACAGTAGCTAATAAGGGTTTTATTCCATGTCGGTAGAAATCTATGTGGAAAACACAAGCCATGTTATAGCCCAGGATGTGAAGCAGTGCCTGATGCTCACACAGTATCACTCACTTTTTGTTTACCTTCTGGATAGTTACTTTGTTTTTGGAGTTTTGGAAGCGACGGCAAGCTGAACTGGAGTATGAATGGGACACAGTTGAGTACTTAGAGCAAGAAGAACAAGTTCGTCCGGAATATGAAGCTCGATGCACTCATGTAGTAATGAATGAAATCACACAGGTAAGGAATATTCTGATAACTGGTAATAGCTACTGCAATTGACATGTTGTGAGAGGACACCATGAAAATCATGATTGTGGACTGGAGCTAGATAAATCAGCTGGCCTGTAAAATAGTGATCTTATAAAGTACACATGCATGGGAGGGAATTTATACCCAACTGTAGACACCTTAAAGTAGTTGCCTGTCTACTCAGAGTTGCCTTGCCTCAGAGTTTGGACTGCTGAGGTTCCTGTGTCAAAAATAAACAGAAGTAGGCACTGTGTCCAGCTTAGGAGACTAAGTCTACTTTATTAAATCCCCCAAGAAATGATTCAGTGTTGCTGCCAGAGGCTAAGACTGCATTTGCTATCTTTGCCTAAGAATGCATCAGAAAAACAGGTTGAAATAGAGGGAAAGATGTTACATTATATATCATGCCAAGACTGATTTTTTTAACCAAAGATGTTACTGTTTGAAACACATATAAATAGGTATTGTTACTAAGTGCATGTGGATGCAATTACAAATAATAACATCAAGCTTACAGGGACAAGGGTAATCCTCGTTTTGATGAAACAGGATTCATATTTATGAGGATCTTAGTTTAGATCTCCATTTATTATACATTTGGAGTAGCTTTAGCTTCTGTAGCTCACTCCAGCTCAGCTTCGCTTTTTATTATTCTCTGTCAATATATTACCTTGGTGTTTATCTGATCATTTGCATTGCTTTCACATTCCACCCACATTATACTAATGTTTATTAGGGGGCACTTGAAAAGTTTCAAAATTAACTGGTGTAGTTGAAACTATCCTATATAGATCTTCTTTTTATATCTTGTACTATAAAAAACCTGGTTCTGTTTAAAAGCTCATAAACCTATGCCACCTTTAATGTATAAAGTCATAGCTAGGAAGTTCCTTTCAGACAGTTCAAAGGGGGAAGAATATGCTAAAACATAATGACTTTGCTCCTCAGAGATCCTATAAAGACTCAGTGAATTTTCACAACATCATACTGAGGTAGACATTTTCCCTGGGAAAGCCATCCCATTGTCCTATGGGATAAATGAGAAATATGGAGATCAAGGACCAAAATTTTTGTGCCTGCTAATTTTAGCCAGTTAGGTTTGAAAGATAACAACCTTGGATGCCATGATCAGCCAAGAAGGATGGGTGTGTTGAAAAGGACTATGTCCCCTGTTATTGCTGAAGTCAGTAAGAGCTGAGGACAGAAAGTAATTTTTATCTTAGAATGAGCAGCAAAAAAACCCACCTGTAATCAGGCAAGACATGAAATCATGGTAGATGAAAAGCTGAACATGAGCCGGCAGTGTGCGCTGGCAGCCCAGAAAGCCAACCATATCCTGAGCTGTATCCAGAGAAGTGTGGCCAGCAGGTCGAGGGAGGGGAGTCTGGACCCCCAATCTCCTCTCATGAGACCCCACCTGGAGTGCTGCGTCCAACTGTGGAGCCCTCAACATTGGAAGGATATAGGCTGGTTAGAGTGAGTCCAGAGGAGGGCGGGAGCACCTCTGCTATGGGGACAGGCTGAGAGAGTTGGGCTTGTTCAGCCTGGAGAAGAGAAGGCTCTGGGGAGATCTTATTGCAGCCTTCCAGTACCTGAAGGGGCCTACAAGGAAGCTGGGGGGGACTTTTTGCAAGGGCCTGTAGTGACAGGACAAGGGTAATGGGTTTAAATTGAAAGTGGGGAGATTCAGGAAGAAGTTCTTCACGAAGAGGGGGGTGAAGCACTGGAAGAGGTTGCCCAGAGAAGCTGTGGATGCCCCATCCCTGGAAGTGTTCAAGGCCAGGCTGGATGAGGCTTGGAGCAACCTGGTCTAGTGGAAGGTGTCCCTGCCCATGGCAGAGGGGTTGGAACTAGATGGTCTTTAAGGTCCCTTCCAACCCAAACCATTCTATGATTCTATGAATAAATTGAGTTTCCAGGCTAACAGAGCAGGAGAGGAAACAAAACAGGACTTTTGTCCTTTTTTTCTGCTCTCAGTATCCTAAAGTTTTAATTGGGGCACACAGAAAGATATGAAGAAAAGGTTGGGTGCATCCTTAACTGTTTCTAAATCTTTTACAGCAAGAAGAACATGTGCCATACACTGCCTGTGGGAAATGCATACGGATGACTTTCTGTACAAGTGCAGTCTTCTTCTGGGTAAAGTTCTCTTACTCTTTCACCTCATGAATTCCTTAGTGAGTGTGTAAAAAATCTCCCTGAACTGAACAAAATGTAGCAAAGGAATAGGTTCAGTTGGATTTCCATCTGCTGCATAAACCAAACCCATAAGGCATGGACTGACATGAAGAAGGTAGCTGTAGTCATCACATCCTCATTAAAGTAAATAGAAAATATGCATCAAAATATCCTGCACCTATAGCTTGTGAGTTATGCTTGCAAATGTGATGTTTTTTTCCCCTTGTTATTTTAAGATAAATGTCTTTGCTTTAGTGGAGGGAGTAGGGGAAAGACTTTGTTTTATATGGTCTCCTCCCTGACAGTTTCTATTCTACTCGTTCCTGTATTTGCTTCAGTATCTTCTCTCACAGTCCTGGGCCTTTTCCAGATTTTTCATTTCACTTAACGGAGCAAAGTTGGGTGGCAACCCAAAGAGGTTGCCTTGAAAAGCTCAGTGTTTTAGTGTGCTTTGTGTCCTCCTCACCTGTAGCTCAAGCAGAAGCTGGAAAAGACCTCATCCTAGGTAGTCGGAGACAGATAGGAGATGAGTGGTGGGTGGCAGCCCAGGAGACCCTCAGAGTTAACACGTCTGAGGCACAACAGAAAGAATACTGCCTCACTGTTGGATTTAAATAGGCAGGACGTCAGGTTGAAGGGTCAGGGTTTGTCATTTGTGTTACTGCACTCTCTTATTATGTGCATGGGTGGGAGGAGGTTAACAGGTACAAGGCAGTTTGCAGAGGTAGTGAAAAAAAGATTTGCAGCTGTGAAGACCTTAATCTGAATAATAGCTATGGCACTAGCAAGAAATAAAAGCAAGAAGAGAAGCAGAAAGAGCGGAGATGGCAAGCAAGATGGGATGCATAGATCATTATTACAACTCCTGCAGATTACATGACTTGGCGTAATATTTGTCTATTCCTTTGAGGCAACTGTAGTCTGTAATATCATCATGTGAAAGAGAAGGTACAGCCCCCTCCATAATCAATGCAGACTTGCCAGTACATTTGCCATCCTGCCAATTGCTCAGTGTCAGAAGAGGGAGATTTCTTCCATCACATGCCTCGAGGCGTAAGATTTGATCACGCATCCCATTATCTTCACTCACATCAGTACAAACCTTGTTATTAGTCATAAACCAGACCATCTCTTTTCCTTCCTGCAGACTGGCTATGCTGCATGAAAAAGGTTTCTTTTATGGATTCTAAATTTATTGCCTTCTATCTTATTCGAGCATCCTCTTGCACTCATCTTACGTGATGGAATGGCAGGCACACAATCAGTTTCCTTTTGCCTATTGTAAAAAAGTATTTCAAACTCACTTTTTTCCCAAAGCCAGTGGTTCAACATTAACATCTTTCTTGCATTCCCTTGGCAGATTCTTTTGATTATTGCTTCAGTTATTGGAATCATTGTCTACAGACTCTCTGTTTTCCTGGCGTTTTCTGCAACATTGTCACAGCACATTAGTGGAACTGAGGCGATCCGCAAGTACCTGACTCCACAGACAGCCACTTCAGTAACTGCTTCAATCATCAGCTTTATAGTCATTATGGTTCTCAACATCATCTATGAAAAAGTGGCAATCCTGATTACTGACTTTGGTATGCCGCTGCTGTACCTCAGACAGAAACTTGGGGTAACATAGCAAGAAAACAGCCTTTATATGTATAATAAAAATTCCAATAAATGAACACCCGTACCATGTATTTCAGAATTTCCCCACCAATCACAAAATACCACCTAGAAACTTTCAAATACAGATTTTCTCAGTATCAAAGGGGTATGATATTCAGCTCTTTGACTGAAAACTGCTTGTATAGCCAGCATGAAAGATCAATTGTGCACAGTTTTGTGCTTGCGAAACAGACAAAGCAAAGAAAATTACTATAATAACCAAGCTTTATGAAAACAGATCAGTAACGCATAACACATTCAATTACATTAGCTTTTGTTTATGGGGAGAATAGCTATTTTCTTTCAAATAAATGAAATAAGGTCACTGTTCCAAAGCTAGATATCATTCCCATGTAATTCAATAGACAAATAGTCACAAATATTATCATTGTTTATATCCACACCATCAACATTAAAGTAGCTATTTTACTTCAGATGTGTGAAGTAGTGTGGTGTTTTAATATAGTTTCATTTAATACTGTTTCATCAGTTCAAAGTGTTACATTTGCGTCTTTCCTGAGTGTGATGGATTTGGGTGCTTTTTTTCTCCTCAATTCTTGGAATTTGTGCTTGTTCTTTTTCTTTATTGTCAGGGAACAAGTTCTTTCCTTTTTACAACCCACACAGTTTTAGAATCAGCAGAATGGTTACAATATACATGAGGATGATGTACAATCTGATTTATAATGCTCTCAGTTGAATACAAGACCTACACATATTTTTCTAGCTGAGGCTCTAAAGCAGCTTGTAGCTTCCTTGCAGATTGGTGTGGTGGGGTTTTTTTTAAAATTTGTCTTTTTTAATTGCAGAGCTTCCAAGGACACAGACTGATTATGAAAACAGTCTGACCACGAAGATGTTTTTGTTCCAGTTTGTCAACTACTATTCTTCATGCTTCTATATAGCCTTCTTTAAGGGTAAATTTGTAGGTCACCCTGGAAATCCAGTTTATTGGCTAGGAAAGTACCGCAATGAAGAGGTAAGAAAGTGTGATACTGTTTGATTTTAAACAGCAGGGGCCGTCAGTCCAGGTATTCTGGTGCAGTAAGGAGTGTATAACATAGTTGCACTTATTTAACATGAGGGCTCAAAAAGCGACTGCCTCCTAAGACAATTGCCTCCTTAGTAACCCCTAGCATAAATTATTATGACATGAGAGCAATTGGGCTTAGAAATGTACTCTGTATACACAGACAAGCTTATTTTCCCATGGTCCAACAACCTATGAATCAGCACAGGGGGGAAGGGGAGAATGTCAGTAGAAACATTCTTATCCCGGCAGGTGACCCTTGCCTGCTGACAGCACAGTGCAAAGCTTGCATGACTTCTCCTGGTATTGCACTCTTTCACTGGTGTCCTGTCAACCTACTACATGTGACGATATGTGGTCTGGAATTGGCTTTTGCCTACATTGTTGGAAAGGTTTGCTTCAATAGTTTTCTTGTATTGTTGTAAGAAATGATATCATAATAAACCAGGAATGCATTCTTTTAAATGCATTGTTCGAGTTACCCAACTTCAAAAATGCCTCATGCTTCTCCCAACCTTCAGTGTGATCCAGGTGGATGTCTCCTTGAACTCACGACTCAGCTTGCCATCATAGTAGGAGGTAAAGCAATCTGGAACAACATTCAAGAAGTGCTTCTTCCGTAAGTACAAACGATTAAGTAATCTGCTCTTTCATACTTGAAATATACAGCATTTGCTTGATGTGTTCAGGCATTTGGTCACTAAATTTAATAGGAGCATACTGTACTTTAAAAGAATAAGACTAGTCTTTTGGGGCCTTTTCAGACAGTTTGGATATTTTCGGTCTGGTAGCTCTGAGCTCCTATCTCTGATGTTCCAATTGATTTTAGTTCTAATCAGAAATGCATCCTTCCTCTGCAAATCAGACTCAATGTGTTTCAGGTTGGATACATAAAACTGAAAATTTGAATATATTGAACTAAATACTGTTGCCTACTATTGAGTGGAATAATTTGTTGTTGTACAGTGGGCTTTTAAAAATCATGCATAAGTTACTAATTTAACTCATTTAGTTTTATGGTCATATTTGACACTCTTAGTGCCTATACGATCTCTTTCAGTGGGGCAGATACCTGGAAGCTCATGTTTCAATGTAAACAACAAGAAAAGTGCTAACCACTAATACCCTCCATTTAATTTAGATTAAAATACTACCCAGGACTCTGTTCCTGCTACCAGGACTTGTTCTTTATTTCATGCTGATCAGTGGCTGTTATATTGTTTGGAGTAGGGAACTCCCAGTTTGCTCATGCCCCCATGAATGCCCTAAGTAGCAGCCCATGGCACTGTATGCCCTCTGGCTGTGGTTCTTCCAAGCCCACGAGTTGTGCTCCTTTGCTGCACAGTGACTACACTTCAGAGCATGTCATAAATACTGTGTAGGGTTGAGGCCAGGATGCTCTGCTGAGATGTGATTCCTCCAGACCACAGTGCTCCATACAGGCTGCTGGTTGCAGGATGGACCTTTAGACCCACCCTCCTTTCAACATCTTCTTTTACCCAGGGAAGTGTCCCTAGACTGAGCATGCCTACAAATGTCAGCTCCAGCCATAGATAACTGACTCCCCCCTTCCATGTACAGGAAATATATCCACCTCACCAGAATTTTGAATTCACTTCCCAGGGTGACAAATCACATTTAGGTGATGAAATGCTGAGTATCAATCACTTCCGGATCTGGTTCTTATCTGCTCTCTCATTCTGCATCTCTGCAAGTATAAAGAGAAGCATTTTGGGTATACCTCTGTTGAGGAAGAAATGTTGATAGATATTCATCCCTACCCCCCTGGCTTTTTTTAAATATGGTCCTTTGCTGAAAACAGCTATAGCTAATTCAGCAGTTTTTGTAAATTCTCATGCAAGCCTTTCAAACAAGATCAGCCTCACCTTGATCTCTGGCAAAGTGAAGAACCAGCTATTCCTAGAAATTATTTCCAGGAACATGAATAACAAGAAGGTCCTCAGGAGTAGTCAGCATGGATTCGCCAAAGGCAAGTCATGTTTGACCAACCTGCTAAACCTCTATGATGAAATTACTGGCTCAGTAGATGAGGGGAGAGCAGTGGATATTGTCTACCTGGACTTCAGCACGGCTGTTGACACTGTCTTCTATAAAAGCCTGACAGATAAGTTGTTGGAGGAGCTGAGGAGCGACAGTGAGGTGAACTGAAAACTGGCTGAATGTCCGTGCCCAGAGGGTGGTGATCGTTGAAGTCTAGTTGGAGGCCAGTCACTAGTGGCGTACCCCAGGGATCACTATTAGGTCCAGTCCTGTCTAACAACTTCATTAATGATCTGGATGATGGGGCAGAGTGTAACCTCAGCAAGTTTACTGATGACACCCAACTGGGAGAAGTGGCTGATAAGCTAGAGGGTTGTGCTGCCATCCAGAGGGACCTGACAGGCTGGAGAGATGGGCCGACAGAAAACTCATGAAATTCAACATGGGGAAGTACAAAGTCCTGCACCTGGGATAGAATAACCCCTGCACCAGTATATGCTGGGGGGACACAGTTGGATGTGAACCAGCAAAGTGCTCTTGGGGCAAAGGTGGTGAATGGTATTCTGGGCATTAGGAGGAGTGTTGCCAGCAG